CATACTACCAAAAGTGTTATACAAATTTAATGCAATTCCAATTAAAATCCCAACAACATTCTTCATAAAATAGAAAAAGCAATCTTTAAATTCATTTGGAAAAATAAAAGATCAGAATATCCAGAGCCATCCTTAGCAAGAAGAGTGAAGCAGAAGGCATCACAATACCAGATCTTGCACTATAACATAGTGCTATAGTAACAAAAATGGCATGGGAGAGTAGAAGACAGAGACAAACCCACATAAATATAATTATCTCATACTATACAAACGTGCTAAAAATATACATTAGAGAAAAGATTGTCTCTTCAATAAATAGTGCTGGGAAAAATTAGAAATCCATATGCAGCAAAATAAAATTAAACCCCTATATCTCACCATGCACAAAACTCAACTCAGTGGATCAAGGTCCTAGGAATTAGACCAGAGATCCTGTGCCTAATAGAAGACAAAACAGGTCCAAATCTTCATATTGGATTAGCTCCTGACTTCCTTAACATGACACCTAAAATGTCAAGAATCAATAAATGGGATGGGTTCAAACTAAAAAGCTGCTTATTAGCAAAGGAAGCAATCAAGAATATAAAGAGAAAGCATACAGAGTAGGAGAAAATCTTTACCACAAGCATATCAGATACAGCACTTACCTCCAGGATATATAAAGAACTCAAAAAACTTATCACCACAAAAACAAACAACCCAATTAATAAATGGTCTAAGGAACTGAACAGATGCTTTTCAGGCGATATACAGATGATCAAAAAATATATGAAAATATGTTCAACATCTCCAGCAATAAAAGAAATGCAAATCAACACTAAGATTTCATCTCACTACAGTCAGAATGGTAGTTTTTAAGAATACAAGCAATGATAAGTGTTGGTAAGGATGTGGAAGAAAAGGTACACTCATGCATTGCTGGTGAGACTACAAATTGGTGCAAACACTCTGGAAAGCAGTATGGAGATTCCTCAGAAAACTTGGAATGGGACCATCATCTGCTCCGGCTACCCCACTCCTCTGTCTGTAACCAAAGGACGCAAAATAAGCATATTACAATGACACAGCCACTTCAATGTTTATAGCAGCTTAATTTACAATAGCTAAACTATGGAACCAACCTAGATACCCTTCAATGGATGAATGGATAAGGAAACTGATATGTATACACAATGGACTATTACTCAGCATTAAAAGAGAATAAATGTATGGCCTTTTCAGGTAAATGGATGGAGTTTGAGAATATTATGCTAAGCAAAGTAAGCCAATCCCCAAAAACCAAAGGCCAAATGTTTTCTCTGATCAGTGGATGCTGATCCCTAATGGGAGAGGGTAAGGGAAGAATGGAAGAACTTTGAATTGGACAGAGGGTATTGAGAGGAGGGGAGGGGGCATGAAGGTAGGAAAGATGATGGTATGAGATGGGTATCATTACCCTAGGTACAGGTACCATTGCACGAATGGCGTGACTCTACATTGTGTACAACTAGAGAAATAAAAAGTTGTGCTCCATTTATGTGCAATGAATTGAAATGCATTCTGCTGTCATGTATTAATTAGAACAAATAATAAGAGAAATGCAAATTTGTGGGCTTATTCCAAGCTTGCTGACATAGAAACATTAGAGGTAGCACCTAGCAATCTGCATTTTAACATCTTTTGGGCTATTCTAACGTTCTCTTAACTTAGAAACCCTAAATAAGACTAATCTACTTAAGTAGAATAACTGGTGATTAGAGCAAAGTGAAGTACTTCTTCCATTTAGATAAGTAATTACAGATTGAGCTGATAAAATTCATTTTTCTAGTGTAGTAAATATTATCTTGGCCTTATTCTCTAAGGCATACTCCATATGATAATAGGGTGAAGGTTTCCTGGGCCTTTTATAAGTATATATTTGTTTTTCCCACTTCAATTCATCTTCTAATCTTGACAAGATAGAACTCTTCTATTCCTACTTATTTAATAGGGTATCTGTCTTCCCCATATCTACTATCAACCCAATCTAATTTACTGATGATAGCTTCCTGCCTACTTGGAGGTAGGTCCAAGTGACTGGATTCTATGAAAATAAAATATATGTTCTTTTAATATCCCAGCTGATCTTTACCTGTTATAAGTTTTCTAAAGTTTACTTTTGTTGCCTAGACTTTTTAGAACTCTGGGTTTCTGGCACTCACAGACCCATTATCAATTCTTGATATGCAAAATGACATCCTCTAATTATTAGGAACAGTTAAACCATAATTAATAGTCTCACATAACATCCAAGCTTAAAAGAAAGACAGGAGAAGGTAATTCATTACTATGATCCAGTTTATCTGGCATAGCCATGGATTTTTCTCTTATCCTCCCTCTGCTAATTATTGTGAGAGAGTCCCTTCAGGAACTTGGAGAGTATGGAGAGCATCCAGGGAGGTGGAAAAAAAGATAAATATTGAGACCAAACAATCTGCCATCATCATTTTAAAATATTTACATCTATAGAAATTTTATTTAGCCAGTGTTTTGTCATATAGATTTATATGAAAATATATTCAATAATTATACAATTTTATTATAATGCTATTTTAATTTTACCTTGAGTGTACTTTTCCTCATTGTGTTTTTAATGGTGCCTTTCAATATTATAATTTCACTAAATCCATCTTCATTTGATTTCATATTAACACAGGAGGCTTAGTTTCATTTGTTTAGATAGCACAAGGTTACCCATAGAATTCCAACACAATTTTCTTGAAACAACTCACAAATTCCGTTTTTGAAATGTTTCCAAATCATTATATATTTAGCTTAAATAATGAATGTACCTTTTAGCCCTTCACATAGGGCTATTTAAATGGTTCTTTAAGCTCTGAGATAGTAAGCAAAAGAGGATTGTACTTTCATTATTTTATTTTTAAATGTATGTCTTTATTTATGTCATGCATCTTTCCAAAAAGAACTCACAGTGGTTCACACAAAATAAATGCATGCCAAAAGTTAATAAAGAAAAAAATATAATGAATCTCCATAAAGGAATCTGAGGAATATATGTTTGAAATTCAAGTTTGCCTCTCAGCTCTATTCAGGTAGTATAAACTGTTGTTTTACTACTAGTACAAGTATGCACTTAAATTTTATGGAAAGGTAACATGTGAATTAAACAAAATGAATATAAAAAATCTATATACTACTGCACTAACATTCTGAGAGTTTTATAGATATAACTCCAACTATTAATATTTTTCTGTAATTTTTTTTCAAACTGAGAAATTATTGAGGAAATATATTACAAATGAACTTTAAAAGTTGCTTCCCCTCTCCTTAAAATGACAAGAAAGCTGAGATATAAAATATGCCAGATAAACCCAGTTCTGAATAAAGGATGAACTATTTGAACATGAAACCAGAACATTTTATAGTTCATACCTATCCATGTAAGTAACATGCTAAAATGAGCTACTTTGCAGGTGGTGTATTGACTACTCTATGTGGATGACACTTTGGTTCATGAGCAATTGGTACATCTGTTTCATGATAATTTATTTTATTTCCATATGTAATGTTAGTTGTTCTTATATAAGCTTGCATTTGTTTTAAAAAGTCAGATATCAAAGTTTAGCTTATATTCATTGTACTTGTACTTGCTACTGCCAGAAGAATGGGGTTGTAAAATGACTAGAAAATGATTTTTCTTCCTCCTCCCTATTTCTTTCCTATGTTTATAAGTTAAGTCACAGGCTAGCATTTGGTACTTGGAAATTGGATTTCCCTATGAGCAGAATGACCTTAGTGGTAGATAAAGTGAAAGAATAAGCTGCCATGATCTACTGATTTCACATAAATCACTTTGTTTATTATTTCCAAATCAAACAAAAGGCAATTGTGAACCTTCATTGCCCACAGAAACTTTGGAAATATGATTGGTATAAAAAAATTACTCTATAAGGGCTGAGGCTGCAGCTCAGTGGCAGAGTGCTTACCTAGCATGCGTAAGGCACTGGGTTCTATCCTCAGGACCTCATAAAAATAAACAAATAAAGAAATGCTCTCTATTTATAACTACAATCTTTTTTAAAAAATACTATATGAAACATGTAAGTATTTAGAAAATAAGCAGATAGCTTCTGAGGGATGTGGATCATACTCCATGTCTTCCTTTTTACTTAATGAGCTTCAAATTAACATTAGAAAATAATTATTCCAATAGTCTAACTTTAATTAAATAATAGATGCTAACGAAGTTTAAGGTCTGTTAACTGCATGGAAAGTTTTTATTTATAAATAATGGAATATTGAAATTGTGGAAATAAATAATATTGCAATTTTCTCCAAATAAACAGCATTTCAGAAAGCAAAGCCCTTTAGACAATCATCTTCTCAAGTCACCAGTACTACTGGCACTTTATAGTCAGTTTTTGTTAGAATTTTGTCAGAGGAAATTCACTACCATCCAAGAGCAATGCCACCCACTCCCAATTGTTAAAAAGCAGTTTCTAGCTGAGGGTGGTGGTACACTTTTGTAATTCCGGTAGCTCAGGAGGCTGAAGCAGAAGAATCACACGTTTTTGGTCAGTCTTCGTGATCTAAGCAAAATGATGAGACCCTGTCTCAAAATTAAAAATAAAAAGAGCTGGTGGTGTTGCTCAGTGGTTAAGCACCCTTGGGTTCAATCCTTACTACCAAAAAAAAAAAAAAAAGACAGTTTCCACATGTTGATCTTGTTTTGACTTTAGAAGAGCTTTTACTAATTGATCACTAGGCAGTCCTTCTAGCTCTGAAGTTACCTCTTCATAGTCTTTATTCTAATGTCTCTATTTTACAATCTCTTCAACCTTTATTGAAAGATTTTTTGAAGTTATTATGTGTATGTTTATGGACGTTCAATAATTTGCAGAAATGATTGCAGTCTTTGCCCATCTATAGAAATGAGTGAATGCATAAAAAATGGAAACAATACTGTTTTAATAAAATGTTACCTAGAACCTAAGACTTATTCTGTGATCTGGTTTTAACAGATTTTAAAAACAGATCTAGAAAAGAAAAAGCAAACTATGGACAAACTCAGTTCACTCCACCAAGATCTTCTTTCAACACTGAAAAATAAATCGGTGACACAAAAGATGGAAGCCTGGATGGAAAACTTTGCACAGCGTTGGGATAATTTAGTCCAAAAACTTGAAAAGAGTTCAGCACAGGTAAGTGATACCAATTATCATAGTATGAATTATGCTGGAGATTTTGAAACCTGCATTATGAGAATAATGCTATGACCTTACAAAGGATGTCATAGGATAATTCTGTGCCCAATGGTAAATTGAATTTAAAAAAAAACATGGCTTCTGCCATGCACACTGGCATGCACCTGTAATCCCAGTGACTCAGGGAGGTTGAGGCAGAAGGATTGCAATTTTGAGGCCACCCTCAGCAACTTAATGAGGCCCTAAGATACTTAGTGAGATGTGTCTCAAAATAAAAAAATAAAAAATAAAAAAAAGCTTGGATGTAGCTCAGTGGAAAAGCACCCCTGGTTTCAATTCCCAGTATAAAACTAACTATCTCTCTCTCTCTCTTACACTTCATTTGTTATCTAATAGATTTATTTTAGAAAAAAAACAGGCATTCTAGCTTGACTTGTTATTGGAGAATCATAGGCAGGGGAATGAGCACTGATTGATTAAATTAGTTACTATACTCCAGTTTAATAGTAGTAGGGAGCTGCATGACAGAGCAGTTGACTCTGAATCACAGATTCCTAGAACCATGAATGCCATTAGTTAACCTCATTTTACATTTGGAAAAAAAAATGAAACCAGAGAAGAAAAGTGAATTATACAAGGAAATGTAGCTGTAGGAACAAGACAATAGCACAGGTCCTTTAATTTCTCTGAAGGCTTCTTTTATGAGGGCAAATGATGATCTAATTATTGGGTTTTCAGCCACAGACTGCTGATTTCATAAAATCATGAATGTTGCTTAATTACATATAGGCTATAGTTTAGGAAAATACAAGCTATAGTTTAGGAAAATAACAAAGTTACAGTTCTGGAATGTGGTTGTATGTTAGTTATTTTAGAAGTTTTAGTAATTTAAAAATCAGGGATTGTTTTTTAGTCTCATTATCAGATGGTAGAAAAATAGGTAGCCATTCAAAATATTGACATGTATATTCTGTCACATCATTTTGTATTACAAGGGCATTTGTTAATTGATCACTGTTTACAACTCAAGGCTATGCATAAACACTTATTAAAACAATGATCACATTCAATAGATCTTAGGCAGATATCTCCTTTGTTGTGAGACAGGTACAAGGAATTTGTTTTTTTTGATACTTGATATTTGATATGTAACACTTAGGAAACATTTATTGAAAGATGAAGAAAGGAAATTTGAGGTGTTAACTTCCATAAATACAATAATAAATATTAATCAGCCATATATGATTTCATTCCCTGTTCAATTTTCCTTTTAAATCCAAACTCATGTAAAAATTAAAGAAATACAAGACTTTATTTCACTCATTTCTCATGCAATTAAGTAATAATAAAAATCCATTTAGGGCTGGAATTGTAGCTCAGTGGTAGAGTGCTTGCCTAGAATCTGTGAGACACTAGGTTCGAACCTTAGCACCACATTAAAAAAAAAAAAAACTTAAATATGTCCATCTACAACTAAAAATATTTTTAAAAATTCATTTGTTATCTAATAGATTTATTTTAGAAATTAATTTATTGAATAGTAATTTTACTGTAGGTCATATTTTGTTATTATGTGTGATCTGTTTAAGGCTACTTTTAAATTTGCAATATCCCTCGTATTTATGCCACAAATACATGAGGTATTAGTAAATTTATAACTTTTAACTCAACAATTATTTAGATGCAATATGTACTCCTTGATCCCATAGGTTATTGTTGCAACAAAATTGATAGTATCTATGTTAACTATTGGCATTATTTGATAAAGTTGTTTTAAAATATATTCATTCAAGTGATATATTTATGGAAGTGTAACTGCTAAATTGTAGGTCATATTTGGTTCACTTGCACCATATTCAGTTGTTTTCAAGCTTAAGTGTGCATGATAATCATCTGGGGAACAGAATAAAATGCATATTCCTAGACTGAGAAAATCTCATTCTCAGTAGGTCCTGGGAAGGACCCATGAATATACTCCTTTAAGAAGCCTTTTGATACAGACTGCATATATACCTTATTTCACTGCATAATTGTAGCAGATTTTATAACATTTTTCCCCAAAAGTGAGGTGCATGCTTTTTTGAAGAAAAAAAAATGGGCTGGTAATACTTAAAAATCATTTGTTGCTAAACTGTCTTTGGTGCAGCATTAGTATTCACAGGATACTTCTGAGTATACATTAATGTGATGATTATATAGTGAAATATGGCATTTTTATAAACACTGATTAACAAAGGCAGTGACATACTTATCAACCTGTGCCTTCTGGTTTTTTACAATGCTGGCTGAAATGGGAAAAGGGAGACATTCCTGGAGATGCAGTACTTAAATATACTCATTCCCTTGGAATGGTACTACTTTTCAATGAAAGTTGTATATATCTCTTCAATGTGTTACTAATTTGGTTATTCTAGTTGGTGGAAAAATACTAGAAACTTTATTTTTAATGGCCTATGAGTTATGAGACTAGTACCTAGGCAATTTACTTAACCTCTTATTCAGCAGTAAAGCAGTACTAGCTTTGATATGTGTAGTTCTTCACAAAATGATGTTCACCAGACATTATAGCATGTATCTGTTCTGCTTGTTCACTGGGATATGATGAGAATAAAACAAAGCAATAGAAATAAAATCATTTTGAGAGAAGAGAAAAGGTGATCTTAATATATAAGTCATACTGATTAGAAAGTCTGTAGGCTTGTGGTTCACCATAATTTTTAGTTTTTCAAACAGTCGTATGTTCCTATACTAGACCAGGAACAGATAAAGAGACCTACACAAGTTGTTTCCTATAACACTAAGTCGGAGCTTTTATAAGTTCATGTGTTACTTTTTCCTCACTGAATTTTCCCCAAAATATACCATCCATATCTTTTCCAATACATATCTTTGCTGGGGGTTATTGAATTCCTAGGAAGATAGAAATGAAGCTGCCCAGGGAAAGAAGAATTAAAGGAAGATAGGGAAGAAAGAAGTGATAATTTACAGTTAAAAAAAAGTGATTGATTTTCTTTTGTGAATGTCAAATTGAGCTTGATCAAAATTACATTTATGTAATCCTAAGAATTTTAGGATGAGGTTGTGACTTTGAAGAACAGAACTCACTTGTGTGTATTTTCCCCTTATGTTTATTGGGAAAAAAATCTGTCATTAATGATTACTTTATATCTAGATTTTTTTTTTAAAAAGCCTTTTGAATGGTGAAAAAATGAGCAAAGTTTGGATAATAATTTAAAACTCATAATAGTTAAAACTTGTTATTTTTGAAGCAAGGATAGGAATTGTGACTGAGAGGACAAGGCATCTGATTGTTCACATATAAAGAACACTGTGTGCCTGTGACTCTGACAGCTATTCAGGTCAAAGCTTTGAGGGATTTTGACCTTATGAAGCAGTTGCATGGCAAGAGATCAAAGCATGATTAAAATGAGCTGTGAGGGCTGCTCTCTTGCATTTTAAAGTCAGGTTTGGCTTGAATAATACCTGGACACAAGCTGAGGATGTTAAACTTGATGAGAAGGCAGTCTGAGAAAATAGAAATGCTTTGTCTCTGAATGTTGGAAGGATAATAACTCTTGTTATGTGGATACTTAATAGGGAAAAAGAGGGCAAAAGAAAAATACCCTGGGTTGACATCTGTGAAAGCTCAAATGATCCTATACTTCTCCCTATTTTTTAAATTTATATACTTGTTGAAACTTGGTTTATTTTTTCAAAGCCATGACACTAAAGAATACATTCTATGTTGATTGTAATTATGAAATATGATAGAAATTCATTCTAATGGGGGAAATAAAATATAATTTAAGTGATTTGAAACATTATGCCCATTTAAATGAAATAATATGCACTGTGTAAAGAACATATGTTTGATAGATTTTATAATTCATGATGATAATTTATATTAAAGTTGGACATTAGAGACTTAGATATAAAATATTTATCTCTCTAGGTAAGTCTAAAAGTTTTATAGTTTTATGACATATTAGCAGAATAAATATCTCCTTTCATGGGAATAAGGAAAATTCCATGACTCAGATAAGGTTTAGGATCTCATTCCCATTTTGTAAATATTTTGCTACATGACCGATTTTGCAGTATTCTCAACTTGAGCAAAAATACCTTAAAACTAATATACTCAGAATCCTTCTCTCCTTGAACATGAACACTGATGTTCATGCTGTGTGTATTTCTGCATGATACCCAAAAAGGAATATGATCATTATATATATATATATATACATATATATATATGTATATATATATACCTATTCTATATCATTTATGTCCTGCTGAATGATTTAACCCTTGACAGACACATGACTAATGTAAAGCATGGCTAGATATGATAAGCCAGTGATTCTCATTATTCCCAAATGCAGATTGAAGGATGCAATCTATTAAGGTGGAAATTTATTTGTCCTTTTTTCTAATTCAATTTTTATTCTTTAAATATTTTAATTTTTACTTGTATCAAAATATTTTATATTCACATTCTGGCTATATCCATTCAAAGCATTCATTAGGCTGTATCCACTCTCAAAGCATTCATTAGATTGCAGACTTATTGATATATGTGACGTAGTTACAACTGGTTTGCCTCTATTCTTTTTTTACTAGTAATTTTAATTAAAATACTCGAAAGGCTTTTAGTTTACAAGCCTTTTTAGTAATTTCTGAAAGCTCGCCAAGCCTTAGAAGCCTGCTGCCAATTAAAAAATATGTTTTTATAAAAACTAGAATTAAAACAAAATTCCTTCACTTATTTTAGGATTCCATCTTGTTGAAATGTATGTATTAACTACCTCAACTTTTAGGGTGTTCTTTGGTTCATTTATCAGGGTGTAAGTTTTATTAGGAAAATTTGAAATTACAGTTCAAATTACTTTGGAAATTAATTATATACTTTTGCTACCTACAACTGTAAAAAGTATTTGGAATGGACCTTCTATAGCGGTGCAATAGGTTTATGTAATAAATTCATTACCTACAATAAT